CTCCCTCTTCTCCATCTCTCCAAATCCTTTCCATTTTTAAATACTTATTTGAATCCAAGTTTTCATGAATCCTGTCCTGGCCACCCAGTGAAAATGAGCTCTTCATCATCTAACATTGCTTGTATAATTTGGCAATTAAAATTGTTCAATGCAATAAATATTTATTGAGTGTTTACCATGTGTGAATTACCATATGAGGTACCATACGGGATTCCAAGATAAATAAAACCCTTTTACTGTAAATAGAGTATAAAACAAGTACTCAAACTTATAACCAAATGCAGAACATGCTACGTACTATGAGGCATGGCAGACAGAGCTGTAGGGGTTTGGAGGTAGGAGGGGAGAAGGGAGCTAACATTTGCTGAATGGATGTTACAGGTTAGACCAATAATGCTGGATGCTTTATGTTGTCATTTATAATATACCAATTTTATAAAGGTGGAAGATAGGGTTCAGCAAAGTTAAAAAAACATAACCAAGATTACACACTTGATTAAGTAGTAGTGTAGAGTCAGAATTTGAATCCAGGGTTGTCTGGCTTCTAAGTCCCATTCTTTCCACTAACTCTCATCTAGTTATAAGTTTAAGAACATTTTCATGAAGAAGGAGGCATTTTAGATGAGGCTTGAATCATAAGTAAATTTAGATAAATGAGAGAGAGGGAAATACACTCTCCAACAATTAAAATTCACAAGCAAAGTGCAGAGCCAAGAAAGAAGAAGATGAATTTGGGTAATAATGAACAGTCAAGTTAGACTGGTTCATAGAATATGTGGAATGGGCTAATAATATAGTAATAACTGTCTTTTATTGTGTCAGATACCACTTTATATACTGTGAGATGATATATTAGTTAACTTTTATTGCTTTGCATACCACCCCCAAAACAATGTAGTTTCAACTAGCTCACAATTCTGTGGGTTAGCAGTTTGGGCTGTGTTCCACTGGAAGGGTTCTCTGGCTAATCTCACCTGGGCTCACTCATGTAGTTTGTAGTTGGCTTGTGGATTAGTTGGAGCTCGATGGTCTAAGACAGCCTCAATATATGTCTAGGGATTGGCAGTCAGTTGCAGGCCAGGCTGGGAAGCTGTGTTTTTCCTCCCGATGGCCACTCCAAAAGGCTTGCTTGAGTTCATTCACAGGGTAATCCTAGGTCTACAAGCATGCAGAGTGGAATCCTCAAGGCCTGTGAAAGCCAAAGCTCATCAGCTGCACAAGGTCTGTTACACATATTCAATTGACCAAAAGAAGTCACAAGGCCAAAACAATTCAAGGGGCAGGAAAATAAGGAACTGTAAAAGAGTTGTTGTTATCTATAAACTGCCTCAGATGAATATTATTATCCCCATTTTTACAGATTTTTTTTAAAGAGGCTTGAAGAGATTAAACAATTTTCCTAAAGTTGCATGTCAAAGCCAGAAATTGAATCCAAGGTTGTCATAGTATAAAGCCCAAGCTGAGGGGCACCTAGGTGGCTCAGGGGTTGAGCATCTACCCTCAGATCCAGTCGTAATCCCAGGGCCCAGGATCAAGTCCCGCATCAGGCTACCTACCCGTGGGGAGCCTGCTTCTCCCTCTGAACTATGTCTCTGTTTCTCTCTCTGCATCTCCCATGATTAAATAAATAAAAATCTTTTAAAAAAATAATCATGTAAAAACCTCAATGTATGCTGAGAAGTCAGCCAGTAAACCTTACCCTTTATTCTTGATGAAAACTTTTCAAAACCTGAGTTTGGAAAGTTTATTAAAGAGGTTCTGCAATCACTATGACAACTTCCAAATGCAGCAGCTTGACAAAGGTTTACTTCTCGTTGACATCACACTTGGCACAGTATAATGTGTGTGTGGTGGGAAGGGGGATGGGCAGGGCTGTTTCACTTTGGCGTTCAAGGGACCACTTCTATCAGTGGTCCACCTTCCACAGGGCCTCAGATTCCTCTGCTGGATCTTTTGTATTGAGCCAGCTGGCAAGCCAAGGGAGAGAACAAGAGGAGAATCACACTAGCCCTGCGCACATTACATAGGCTGGAGGGAGTCACATGGCTTAACTCAGATGCAAGAAAACTGGGAAATGTAGTTCAATAGCAAGCCAAGAAAAAGTAAACTGATTTAGAAGGTTTGTGCCATTGAGCTTCTTTTTATCCCCTCTACATGATACATATTTAAAACTAAGATCAACATTTATAGTTATTATAGACCTAACAGAGTTCTTTCCTCAGGAATGAATATAAGAACAAATTCTTTTTTTTAACATATATTTTTTACATATATATTTTTTCATTGGAGCTCAATTTGCCAACATATAGCATAACACCCAGTGCTCATCCCATCAAGTGCCCCCCTCAGTGTGCATCACCCAGTCACCCCCACCCCCCCACCTCCCTTTCCACCACCGCTTGTTTGTTGCCCAGAGTTAGGAGTCTTTCATGTTCTGTCTCCCTTTCTGATATTTCCCACTCATTTTTTCTCCTTTCCCCTTTATTCCCTTTCACTATTTTTTATATTCCCCAAATGAATGAGACCATATAATATTTATCCTTCTCCGATTGACTTATTTCACTCAGCATAATACTGTCCAGTTCCATCCACGTCGAAGCAAATAGTGGGTATTTGTCATTTCTAATGGCTGAGTAATATTCCATTGTATACATAGACCACATCTTCTTTATCCATTCATCTTTCAATGGACACCAAGGCTCCTTCCACAGTTTGGCTATTGTGGACGTTGCTGCTATAAACATCGGGCGCAGGTGTCCCGGTGTTTCACTGCATCTATATCTTTGGGGTAAATCCCCAGCAGTGCAATTGCTAGGTCGTAGGGCAGATCTATTTTGAACTCTTTGAGTAATGTCCACACAGTTTTCCAGAGTGGCTACACCAGTTCACATTCCCACCAACAGTGCAAGAGGGTTCCCTTTTCTCCACATCCTCTCCAACATTTGTGGTTTCCTGCCTTGTTAATTTTCCCCATTCTCACTGGTGTGAGGTGGTATCTCATTGTGGTTTTGATTTGTATTTCCCTGATGGCCAGTGATGCGGAGCATTTTCTCATATGCTTGTTGGCCATGTCTGTCTTCCTCTGTGAGATTTCTGTTCCTGTATTTTGCCCATTTCATGATTGGATTGTTTGTTTCTTTGCTGTTGAGTTTAATAAGTTCTTTATAGATCTTGGATACTAGTCCTTTATCTGATACATCATTTGCAAATATCTTCTCCCATTCTGTAGGTTGGCTTTGAGTTTTGTTGACTGTTTCTTTTGCTGTGCAAAAGCTTCTTATCTTGATGAAGATAAGATGAAGATATTTATAGTCCTATCAACATACCATGAGACGCTGATAGTAACTGTTTAAGAAGAAAAGAAAAAAAGAAATGAAAATACAGGGAAAAGGAAACATCTACAGATGACATATTTTTTATCTGTGGAATTCAAACAAAATTATAGTAAATTAGAAATAATTCACAAATAATCTCATCATAGATTTAGAATATAAACTATACATTTGTATCAGATCAAATCTAATACACCTTTTCAGGTGTCCTGGATGGTCTCTTTCTGATGATAATGCCCCCTGCTTCCTGCCTGTGTCACTAAACTCCCTAAGTTTACTAGAATCAAATTGTAGCCCTGACTGCCTGTGCCACACTCCACACAATATATTACTGCCTTTAGTCACCACTTCCAGACATGGGTATAAAGCTGGTTGGCAGTATGCATTTTACCTCTCAAATAATCTCCCACCACTGGGTTGGATGATACAACTCAGAAGTGCAAGAGAGTTACTTTCCTGTGGGGTAAACATTGACCACTAGGGAATGGGAGACCAAAAAGATCTGTGTAACTTTCTTCTTTTCTGCCCTTATGAACCATCTGTATAGTTCTTCCTTGCCTTTCTGGAAAGATCCTCAGTACTAAGCAACACCCTTTGCAGCCCATTGTGAATTAGCTTATTGTATGTGTTGTCTCTTTCCTTACTTCACTTACCCTTTTTTCTTTATTCTCGGGGCCTGTGCCTCCCAAATTTTCAGCATCTCATCTTTATCTAAAGCTCTGTTTCCTAGAGGACCTTGTCAAAGCTTATGTTCACTCACAAATAAAAACCACATTACTATACACTAATGCCCTATCTAGAAAATAAGATTAAAAATTAATATCTTTCAAAATAATAATTAAATATTGCTTTGGCTCGGATAGATTTATTTAAAAGAAATTATGAAAATACTCTGGGAGAAATAAATGAAGAAATAATAAGTGGGTATATAAGTTATGGTCCTTATTTAGGACCTTGGGAAAATGGAAAGAATTTTGGAGAGAATTCTTTGTAAGGTAATATATGTTTAATGGATCATCACTTCAACCTCCCATGAGATTCTTTATGTAGCAAGGTAAATTGAACGTGAAAATTCCACTAGAAAAAAATGAAAAGTCAGAAGTATATATTTATTTAAATGATACAAACTCTATAGATTAAAACCCATCTTATCAGAGTGCCTAGTTGACTCAGTCAGAAGAGCATGTGACTTGATCCCAGAGTTAGGAGTTTGAGCCCCATGTTGGGTGTACAGATTACTAAAAATAACTTTAAAAAAAAACTTAAAAAATATTATTATCTTAAAAAAACCCATTTTATCAGTATGATGATAAAATCATTTGGTTCTTTATCATTCATAAAGTACTTTCACGTATGTTTTCTCACTTACTCTTCACAATGATACTATTAGATGATTAGAAAAGGATTGTTATCTGTACTTTAGAGATTTTTATTTACTTTTGGGATTTAGTTATAGGGGGGCTCATTTCAGGAAAAAAAAATTGAGATGCTTAATCTCACAGTTGAGAGGTTGGACAGCTCTCAATTAAAGGTTTAGTATGAGGGTACTGGAACTCCCACTCAAGCATTTTGACTCCAGAGCTCATGTTTTTTCCCACTATACTTGACAGTCTTCTGTTACAATATGACAATGAATCAAAATACGTGGATTTATTTTAAAGGCACATCATGGGCACTTGGGGAGCCAAGGGCTTTGGTGCAGACGTGGCCAAGTCCAAGAACCACACCACGCATAACCAGTCACGAAAATGGCACAGAAATGGCATCAAGAAACCCCGGTCACAAAGATACAAATCTCTTAAGGGGGTAGACCCCAAGTTCCTGAGGAACATGTGCTTTGCCAAGAAGCACAACAAGAAGGGCCTGAAGAAGATACAGGCCAACAATGCCAAGGCCATGACTGCGTGTGCTGAGGCTATCAAGGCCCTTGTCAAACCCAAGGAGATTAAGCCCAGGATCCCAAAGGGAGGCAGCCACAATCTCAATCAGCTTGCCTACATCACTCATCCCAACCTCAGGAAATGTGCTCGTGCCCGCATTGCCAAAGGTCTTAGGCTCTGCTGGCCAACGGCCAAAGCCAAGGCTCAAACCAAGGCCCAAGCTGCAGCTGCGACCCCGGGTCTGGCTCCTGCTTCTATTCCTGTGGTGCAGTCTCCCAAAGGTGCCCAGGCCCCCACAAAGGCTCCAGTGTAGAGGCTTCTGCCTGCCAGTGTGAGGACGGAACTGGTATGACCCCTGGGCTTCTGTCTGCATGGGCCTGGTGTCCTCCTGTGCTATTTGTACAAATAAACCTGCGGCAGGATCTGTCAAAAAAATAAAAATAAAAATAAAAGCACATGGAATGGAACAGATTCCAGACACATTTAAATTCTTAGAAGAATTTATCATAAGTTGGCATTATTTTCATGGTCCTGTGTGTTCATATCTTGTAAAATTACCTCAAATTATTTTAGGAAGTAGGAAAAATATAAACAAAGAATGAAAAAAATGAATGCATGAAGTTAATAATATATTTCAAATTTGAAATAATATAATACTTAGGGGGAGAATACTTGTACACATTTTGTTGGAATAATCAACCATAGTATAGTACTGAAAATTAGTCACCCATATTTCCCACTCAATATTGCAAAAAAAAATTTCCAGGAAAGTTAAAATATTAGTTTACTTCATAGTAGGCTTTTAAGAGATATTCATTGATTGAATAAATATCTTTTAAAAATTAGAGTTCCTGGTGGGTTCATAGGTGATTTCTGGTTCCAACAATTTATAAAAAGAATTGTATTCCATGACCAAGTGGGATTTATTCCAGATGTGTATGTAAAGCTGGTTCAAAGTTCAAAACTCAAGGAATGAAATCCATTATATCAACAGGCTAATATAGAAAAAAATATGATCAATAGATGCAGAAAAAGCATTTGACAAAATCTAACACCCATTCACGATAAAAAAAAAAAAAAACCTCTCAGTAAATTAACAATAGAGGGGAATTTACTCAACTTGATGAAGAATATCTGAAAAAACCTACAGCTAACTTCATACTTGTGGTGAGAAATTTAAAGCTTTCCAGTGAAGATCAGGAACAAGGCAAGGATGTCTTTCTTCGCTATTCCTTTTTCAACACTGTGCTGGAAATCCTAGCTAATGGAATAAGAAAAGAAAGGAAATAAAAAAATACACTCATTGGGGAGGAAGAAATAAAACTGTCTTTATTCACAGATAACATAATGGTCTATGTAGAAAATTCCAAAGACTCAAAACAAACAAACAAAACAAAACAACCCTCCCCCCTCCCCGGCCCGGAACTAATAAAGCAATTATAGCAAGGCTGAAGGATGCAAGGTTAAGATACAAAAGTCATTCGTGTTCTTATATATCAGTAAGTGGGACAAGTAGAATTTGAAATTAAAAGCACAATATCATTTACATTAGCACTCCAAAATTAAACACTTAGGTATGAATCTAACAATACATGAGACATATACAAAGAAAACTCCAAAATTCTGTTAAAAGATACCAAGGAGAACTAAATAAATGAAGAGATATTCCATGTCATGGATAGAAGGAGGCTTTTTAGGGCAGCAAAACTACTCAGTAAGATTCTATTATGATGAAGACATGTTATAGAATAGGCAACACCAAGAGTGGATCTTTTTTTTTTTAATTTTTATTTATGACAGTCACAGAGAGAGAGAGAGAGAGAGAGGCAGAGACACAGGCAGAGGGAGAAGCAGGCTCCATGCACCGAGAGCCTGACGTGGGATTCGATCCCGGGTCTCCAGGATCGTGTCCTGGGCCAAAGACCGGCGCTAAACCACTGCGCCACCCAGGGATCCCCCCCAAGAGTGGATCTTAATGTAAAATACGGACTTTGGGTGATAATGATGTGTCTGTGGAGATTCATCAATTATAACAAATGTGCCACTGTTGTGGGGGAATTTTGATAAAGGGCAAAGTTACAGCTATGGAGGCAGATGGGATATGGGAAATTCATGGGCCTTCTGCTCAATTTTGCTGTGAACCCAAAATTACTCTGAAACAAAAAATTAAAATTAAAAAAGAATTTTCTCTCTGTGTGTCTCTCATGAATAAATAAATAAATCTTTTTAAAAATAGAATAAAAAATAATTTTAAAAATTTAAAAGTTATGGGAAGGAAAAGAAGCTATACATCAATCCCAAATGTGGAAGAGGGATTCATGGAGGTGATCCGAGACAAGGTGGATTTGAACGGATGTGCACTTTAAACATTTGCACAACAAAATGTCTCTGGTTTTCAGTCTAGCTGCCCTTCCTAAATTCTTTCCAATGGCAGAGGAGTTGCTAATCTGATTGGACTAGGACAGGCAATGGGCTGTTCTTACCAGAAAGTGATGTTACTGTGTATGCCTGTAGTTATACATCCAATATTGCTGCCAGCCTGCTTTCCCTTCTTTTCTTTTTTAAAAAAGATTCTTATTTATTTATTTATTTATTTATTTATTTATTCATTCATTCATTCATTTAGACAGAGAGAGACAGAGAGTGCACAAGTAGGCAGAGAAACAGGCAGAGGGAGAGGAAGAAGCAGGCTCTCTGATGCGGGGCTTAATCCCAGGACCTCGGGATCATGATCTGAGCTGAAGGCAGATGCTTAACTGACTGAGCAACCCAGTGCCCCTCATTTTCTTTTCTTTGTCCTTTATGTAACAGGAGGGTTTGCCTTTGCCTGACACATCAGGTTCTTCTCTAACTTGCTCCATATCCATGGTAAGCTTTCAGTCTCATACTGCCTTCTTGTTTTAGGAACACTGTGGCAAAGTGTGGCCCTTGGTGCCAGACCCAGCTATTTCCTTCCACCATTTTCTGCTTCCAAGACTATATAAAGTATAGGAACTTTTCTTTTTTCTTTCTCTTTCTTTCTTCTTTCTTTTTCTTTCTTTCTTTCTTTCTTTCTTTCTTTCTTTCTTTCTTTCTTTCTTTCTTCTTCTTCTTCTTCTTCTTCTTCTTCTTCTTCTTCTTCTCTTTCTCTTCTTTTTCTGAGGTGTCATGGCTTCATCACTTCTGGCCTCTTCTCTCAAATGGAGACTAAAGCTCTGCTCTGACTCAAAGTTAGGCAGTTGTGCAGATACTTATTCAGAAATGGATATATGAAGGGAATAAGAAGGTGAGTTCTATGTATGGAGACTGCCTCCACAATCACATCTGTTCGACCCATCCACTCTGGCCACAGACCTTCCCCTTGACTCAAACTGGACCATTCAGAGCTCTTTCCTGGGATTTTTCCAACTTGTACTGGGATAGGAATACTGTTATATGCCCATGACCTTGCAATGTGACTCTAAAGCCATTTGTAGCCATGTTCCCCATCATGTGACTGCCATAGAAGAATGAAGTTAAGAATTATTGACAAGCAGAATTGCTTGATAGGTCCCTAGAAATGTCAAGACACAGCTTCTAGTTAGCTTCAGCTTTTCTTAGTTTCATTAGTACATGACATGCATCAATTCACTTTTCTGCTTATGCCTTTTCAAGTTATGTTCCTGTCATTTGCAACCTAAAGGGTTTTGACTCTTAGAGAAATTGGAAACCTGATTCACCAGGTTCGTGTGACAAAGTAAGCATGGTCATCAAAATGGGAATAACGTGGGCTTAATACTCCCTGTTAGAGAAAATGCTAAACAGAAGATCCCAGATAAGGCTAATTAATCATAGGTTCACAGAAATAAATTTAACAGACATCCCACTAAAGTTTATATCTGCATAACCCCAAACATACCAGCTCTGGTACACAGAGGCTTAATGTGAGCCACTGCACTATAGAATCATATCCTCTCATCCATTTCCAGACCCAAATAATCTTCCAGGCCCTCAGAATTTCCAGGAACCTACTACAACCTCCTCTGTGCCTGCTATGAATCTCCTTTCCCCAAAATGATATGTAGCCTATGTTACTATGCATTCAAAAGAGAGAAATATCCACATTTGGGATTAGGGGGAGAGCACTATTGGATTTAGGCTCCAAACCCTCACTGCTTTGTGGCTACCCATAAATACCACTATGGATATTATGGGATCAGATGGTCTGAAGCTGAGTTCTAACTGAGTTCACCTCATAGATGGTTCAGTGCAACTTGCATCCATTTATAAGGTAATTTCCCTAGTCCTGATCTCAAACAAATATCCTGGCCTTTGAACCTCATACTGGATCCCGGATATAGCTATCATAAGGGGAAAAGCCAAGATGTTAGAGATCCTCCTCCATCACAAAGTAAAACACCAAAACAATATAAATCTCTTGGAGAGTTGCAAAGTGTAGTAACATTAAAAGAAAAAATTACCCTTTGTTACTGGGCTGAAAGTTGATTACATATTTTTAGCTTCTCTACAATCATTCACTCATTTTATTTTCTTACTTAGATCCTGGGTTTTGCAGCCACACTAATTTCTCTTCACTTGTTTTTTTTTTTAAGATTTTATTTATTTAATTGTGAGAGACACACAGAGAGAGGCAGAGGCATTGGCAGAGAGAGAAACAGAGGGGGAAGCAGGGTCCCAGAGGGAAACCTGATGCAGGACTCAATCCCAGGACCCCGGGATCACAACCTGAGCCAAAGGCAGATGCTCAACCACTGAGCCAACCAAGTGTCTCTCTCTACTTATTTTTTGATATTGTTTTAGTGTGTTACTTATGTTTGGTATTTGTTTATGAGCTAGTGGTTTTAAGATTTCTCTTCTTTTAAACTATATTTTAAAAAATAAACATGCGGGGATCCCTGGGTGGCTCAGAGGTTTGATGCCTGCCTTTGGCCCAGGGCGCGGTCCTAGGGTCCTGGGATCGAGTCCCGCGTCGGGCTCCCTGCATGGAGCCTGCTTTTCCCTCTGCCTATATCTCTGCCTCTCTCTATGTCTATCATGAATAAATAAATAAATAAATAAATAAATAAATAAATAAATAAATAAATAAAATCTAAAAAAAAACTTAACATGCATAATAAAAATCTTCTTATTCCAACATATAAACAGAAAAGAAAATGTTAGGGAAAATAATAGTCTTGAATATTTAATGACATGAGTCAATAGGGCTGGCATATACCTGAGTTGTATATCAGTGAACCTCTGCCTGCTAGTCAGTTTCATCTTAAAGACTGTTTAGAAATACAGTTTTAAAATAAGTGCTTAATATAGAATGTGAAGGGAAAAAAGATCCTGTCAAATATTTCAGGTTTTGGAAAATCTTACTTGCTTAGCGTTATTCTATTTATCCAGGTAAGAAAATCTGTGTTTTAAAGCCATCACTTAAAAAAAAAAGATTTTATTTATTGAGTCA